GGTTGGAATAAACCAACGAGATTACTCAGATTTCCTTTCTTTGCTGATTTCTCGCATTCAGAATCTCTTTTCGTGCTTTTGTCTTCTTAATATTCTCCTTAAAATAATCTAATTAAGAAGTCTCCTCCGATTTAGGGGGCCGCCATATTGCTTTTGTTTGTCCCGCGCATTCAACTAGTGGAAAATTATACTAGGAGATTGGACTGAGTGGACGTAACACGCCGCGCTCAACACCCGCGCGGGCAAAGCGACCGTAACGGAAACGGCCCCCAACAAGTCATACAACTTGATCAAAACCATGATTATGAAGTAATCTTTTCCGGAATATTTTTGGATATATTCTTCAATTCGGTGCCAGAAATTGCAGGAAATGACATTTTCGAACCTGAATTTCTCCAATTTTTCATTGACAGCATGCACGCGGTGCTCCCTAGTTGTCAACCCCCAAAAATTATCTTTCATATGCGCTAGTGCTGTGAAAGTTCGAAATTTTAAGATTGGTGTTTACGGCAGACCGCCAAACGCAAACGGCAAACTTCAAATCGCACGGTAAGTTTTACAGGTTTGCGACTGCTAAGTAGCTAATTCATGCTTCAAATTATAGGCAGAATTTGTCTGGACTTGGAATAGCTAACAGTTCACCACAAAATACGATTTGAAGTTTGCCGTTTTTGCGGTTACCAGTCCGCGCGCCGTAAACGTCAATCTTAAGAACTCAAACGTTTTACCTGACGTGTACTGAAAATTACACGCAGAAACCATTCTGTCGCCACTGTCTAGATCGTTTATTTGGTAACATTTGGCGTTAATATACGTGTAGGTATCTATTATTAAAACTAAATAAACATTAAATGGATTTAAACTTTTCCATGCGTGTATGTAACCATCGCGCTATTTATAGTCATTATAGACACCTTCGTCAGCTTCGAGATGTTTTTTAGAGGAGACCGGTTCAGATATTGACTTCCACTACAACTGATGCTACATTTCACATGCTAAAATTGATTGGTTAAATACAATGATCGTTACTATAATCGGGAACATTAGAACAGCCATGAGAGGTATCTATATTGTACGTAGTATTGGGAAATGGTCCACGAGTGTAGTCCACGAAGGCAGTCTATCTGTGTCCCATTGATCTCTGTCTGTGGACCTATCAACAGACGTTTTGGTATTAATTAAGCAGGAATAAATGAACAGGCCCTTAGACGTAATTTTCTTAAGTTTTATTCCATAGTCTACATTTTATACCAAGTCTGCAATTTTAGTCTGCAATTTACAATATCGCGAGTCGCAGGCTAATCTACTTTACACCTTAAGGTGGTCTTCCACCCAAAATTTCCAATATTTGTGATTTAAAAAAAAAAACCGAAAAAAAACAGTCTTTATAAAAATCCGAATAATATATGATATACACTTAAAATGGACCATAAACCGAGAAATCCAGAAAATTTTATATAATACCTTATTGAATTCTGATCGTTTAATTGGCTGTTTATGGTCACGTGATATTGAATAGAAAATTCCATTTCCCAAGAGTGCAATGGAATAAGTTCCATTGCACAGATCGGAAGAGCCTGGAATAAAACGTATAGTACAATTGCACTCTTTGTGTTTTCGATCAGAAATCACATCCCTCAAAATGCTTCTCATACGAATCTATTAGTCTATTTCGGTATTATATAAAACAAATAATGAATGTTTTTTCGTGCAATGGTAAGAATATTTTCATTCGGTGAAAGATGAATTGTTGCATTCAACTCGGCTGTCGCCTCGTTGATTGGAACATTCCATCTTTCACCTCATGAAAATATTCTTACCATTGCACTCATAAACATTCATTATTTGTATACTATACTTCGTTAGGGTAAAACCACGATTTTACGCAGAGCAAATAAAGGTATGCGGTTGGTTTATTCTATTGTTTCACTTTTTAATTTATTGTTCCATGTAAGTTATTCTAATACATGTATTTTAGCGAATCAAAAACCATTGACGTGCTTTGTCGTGGTGCAAAGATGGCTTTTCTCATCTTCTCAGACATGTTATTTTGGGAAGCATGCGCGAAAAATGTAAAATATAAAAATGTAAAATTATAGTTTTCTTTTATTTTCTGATATGACATGTTAAACGTATAGAAGAACAAAAATATAAAATAAAAAAGTAGGGTCACGGACCTTCTTAAAGACATACAAGGGTTTGGGTTGAGATCACCTAACCTGCGAACGGGCATACTCTGTCCCAGCCAGAGTTCTGGAATTTTTGAAAGTATATTTTATGAAGCACGCCTAATCATGCAGAGTGCTTCTTTCTTTGTCCTTACTCTTTCTTTGTCACTTTAAATTGCAGTTCGACTAAATATGTTAGGGGTCGACCATTCAACTTTTGCGGGAAGGGGGGGGGGGATGATTTAGAAAAAAATTTCCTGCAAGGCTATTCTGAAAAAAAAATACCTGCACTAACAAACTGAGGGAAAAAATATCCTGCCCCATTATTTGGTGGGAAAAAAATGTTGCAAAACAGCATGGTTGCAGGGATCGATTTGACCAGTCACAGAAGATCAGCTGGTTTGATTTTCAGGGACTAGTGTAAGCAGTATGGTTAATTTCTTGTTGGAAAACTCCTCAAAGTGCTGGAAATAGCTTATCTGAGCTTCATGAAATCCAAAATTTTCTGGGGGGCATGCCCCCAGACCCCTCTATAGGCTCCCACCTTTGATGATCGACTCGGTTGTCTCAGAATCCTAGGTATGGTTTGATTTTCTGGCCTATGGCGTATGGTTATTTGTTAAACCTCCTCTACGTGCTGGAGGTAGCTTCTGCGCCAGAAACTGGAATTTTCTGGGCTCCCTCTGTCCCCTCTAGTTTCCCACCTTAGAGGGCCGTTGCCATAATCCTAGTTATGGCTTGATCATGCTTGATCTGCTGCCCTATGGCGCATACTTATTAGTTAAACCATGCCTATACATGCTGCAGGTAGCTGCAGCGCCACAGATTTGTCGATTGGAACTTGTTCAGGTCCTTGCCAACTGGAACTTCCCCCGCTAAATATGTCCCCTCCAGTTACACATCCTTACAGGGCCATAGCAATAATACTACTTAACGTACCCCCAATAATTTGCTAATAATCATTCTTTTTTCAAAATCATGCAGACCTGTATCATTTAATCCATGACAAACTGCAAAGAATGAAGATAATACCCATACTTTCCTGCAACTTATCCAATATATAGTTAATTAAATACGCCTTCGCCCATTTAGTACTACAAAAATTGTAAATTTCAACATACTAAAACGTTGTTTTCTGACCATCAGAATCAGAATTCTGATCTTCAAATCTTCCCCCAAAGACGTCCAGGAAATGGCATTTCAGGGACTGTAAATTTCAACCCTCTCGCTTTCAAGCCCCCCCCCCCCATTCGAAAAGAGCTTCCTATGGCCCTGCCTTAAAAGAGGCCCTGAACCAAATGTTATACCTCATAGCAATATGTATTATTAAAGCTTGCTGCTTGCTTGCTTTAATCTTTAATCTTTAATAAAATTTCTTTTAACACGGTAGCCTATTCAGTATAATATATACAGTCTGTTTTTCAAAGGGCCGTGCTATATAGTATTAAACACACATTAACTATGGATATTTACATTTAATTACAGCACATAATTATTACACACTCCATTAATTTCGGAAATGCATTATACATTATTCATGTGCAAGCTTAAGGGCTAAACGCCTTTTGAAATTGGGTAAAGATAAATCCTGAATGTTATTAGTTACTTCATCCGATAATTCGTTCCACCCTTGTGTTGCTCTATAAGAGAAACTTCTTTTAAGAAAGTTGGTTCTTGGTTTAGGCAAAGATAGTTTAACATTATTGCTTCTTAGAGAATAATTACTATTTTCGCATCTCGTGAAGAAGTTCTGCACATAATCAGGTAGTCTGTTAGTTAAAGCTTTAAACGTCATAATGATTTCTCTTTTCTTTAAAATGTCTTCAATTGGCATCCAATTGAGACTTTCTAGTATTTGAGTGGAACGAACATCGTATGATTGTCCTGTGATAACCCGAGCTGCTCTTCTTTGTAACTTAGAAAGTTTGTTAAGAATGGTATTAGATCCATCATTCCATATTGTTGAGCAATATGTCAGGTGAGGAGATACTAGAGCATTATACATTTTGATTAAAATGTGTAAAGGAACAAAGGACTTGGCTCTTCTTAGTAATGCGATATTTTTTGAGATTTTTTTACATTGTGCGTCAATGTGTATACCCCACTTTAATTGATCGTCGATGATAAAACCAAGGGATTTTTTATTGGTGACCCGTTTAATATTATTATCTCGTATGGCTAATGAAATCTCTGGGTTGTCTTCAAATTTAGTAAGATGATGTCTAGAGCCAATTATCATAAATTCCGTTTTGCTATCGTTTAGCGTGAGCTTGTTACATCTAAGCCAACTATGAGCATTCTCAAGATCTCTTTTAAGTTTAGTCTCGATTTCATTGGCATCTAAGCCGGCACACGAAAGATTTGTGTCATCAGCAAACAAGTTAGCCTTGGTTGTTTCTAGACACTTAGGTAGATCGTTAATATACAAGAGGAATAGGATGGGGCCAAGGTTAGAACCTTGTGGTACCCCACACCTAATTTCTCTAGCATCTGATTTTTTCCCATTCATTAAACAAATCGATTTCCTATTTTGGATGTAAGATTCAAACCATGCGTAAGTAGTTCCTTTTATGCCGTATAGGTGAAGTTTCTTTAATAAGATTTCATGGTCGACAGTGTCAAAAGCTTTTTTCAAGTCCAAGAACAGGACTCCATTGATTAAGCCACTGTCCATGTTATATAACCACTCATTTGTCGAACCTAAGAGTGCCGTCTCAGTAGAGTGCTGTGAACGAAAACCGGACTGTTGCTCTACAAGAATGCTATTGTCGGCAATAAACGTTCTCAATTGATTGTACACTAGTCCTTCAAACAGCTTAGCAACCACAGAAATTACAGAGATTGGTCTATAATTTCCGCAATCAGTTTTATTTCCTTCTTTAAAGACTGGTGATACCTTGGCGATTTTCCACTCGTCCGAAAAATTGCAGTCTGAAGAGATAGATTAAAGATGTTGGCTAATGGTTGCGCGATAACATCGCTTGTATCTTTTAATAGTTTTACACTTATGCCGTCCAGTCCTGGTGATTTCCTTGAATTAAGTTGGTTTAAGGCGTCAAAAGTCTCCTGGACTGAAATACATGAAAAATGAAACGAACTCTCCGTAGGAGTGACAAATGTCATAGGGTCAACATTAATATTTTGGACATTTTTCGACAGTTTACAACCGATGGATGAAAAATACTGATTAAAACAGTCCGCAATATTTGTGTCTCCAGTTATAACTTGGTCATCTACATTTAGTTGTGTTACATGGGTAGTTTTGGGCTTTTTGTTTAATAGCTCATTAATAGCCTGCCAACTCTCTTTGCTATTATTTGCATTAGATAACTTCGTTTTAAAGTATTCTTCCTTAGTCTTTTTAATAAGCTTACTTAATTTATTCTTGCATCTTTTGTAGGCCTCGTTATAATTACTCGATGTTAAACGAACACTCTGTCTTTTAAGATAATCCCTATGATGCATTAAACGCTTTATTTCTTTCGTCAGCCATGGTTTATGCTCACTCTTAACGCGACGCTGTCTAACTGGCGCGTGTTTTTCAGCAATAGTAAGAAAGTTGTTCTTAAATTCATTCCATAGCACATTTGGATCATTCGATGTGGGATCTAGATTAGTATAGTAGCTTAGCTCTTCTTTAAATTGGTGGGAGTTGTAATTTTTGAACTGTCGTGTAAATACAATTTTTGGTGGCTCTTTAGGAATGCTAATTTTCCGACATATATAAACAAGACTATGGTCACTAATCCCAAGGTCAACAACCCCGGCTTCTAAGGTTTTATCATCGTCGATATGTTTATAAGCATGATCTTATTATAAGGCATTGCATATAAAGCGGATTTGATGAACATTGAGCGTGCAATAACAAATTTCTCACACCAACTCCGCAGGAAGTTCTGTAAATTTCAATGCACAAATCGACTAATCCTCTGACATAACGAATTAAAGCCTTCGGCTTCACTCGAAATTAAAGTTAAAAATGTATTTAATGTGTGAATTAGCCGAATTGACATATTGTTCATATTGACGATTTTATGAGGATACTTTTTACTAGCAACTAGAGCTAGTAGTCGAATGCACATTTTGAGAATATGTAGGTCGTATGGCTACTCTAACAAACAATTAACAATCCTCTTCGACGCACTTATTATGTCTTTATTTTCCTATGGAATCGAAATATGGGGTCTGCACTTGAAAAGAAGTTCCTGGAACGGATTGATAAATTTCGTAGGCGAGCATACAGATATGGATACACAACAAAAACCGTTCAGATAATTGATGTGATTAAATTAAGAAAGAGACAAAAGTTTATTCGTAAAATTATGTAGTTTATTAAACCAGACCACCCTTTATACGAACTAGTTCCTCCTAAGAGACAAAGACCGTTAAGGGGACGTGAACATGATTTTATTTTACCTAAGGTTAAAACAGAAAGGTTTAAACGGTCGTTTTTAAATAGGTGTCTTTGTAATCATTTTAGCTAAACTTGAATAACTAAGTTATAGACACATATTAATAATTTAGACTTAAGTTTTATTGAAACCTTGTATATATCATGAGAGTTTTGAATGTCGTAAAGTCACACGTCTGTTTTGGCAATGTTTAAATAAAGACTAATAATAATAATAATAATAATAATAATATTATTAAATTTTTTCGTTACATACATATACAATCGTAAATCTCTCTCATAAAGGTAATTGAATAATTACGGTTGGCTATTTGAATCACAACTATACTAAACTAAAATAACAGAACAAAGTGCATGCAATATATATATATACAATGAGATAAGTCAAATCCATAGTAAATCTTGATTTTCCCATTCCTTATTTCGGCAGCAAAAAATGTAATATGTAGTTCTAATAGCAATAGTCATCATTTTCCTAACCCAGTAGCCTACATTTGGTGGTTTTTGTCAAGACCAATATTTTCTAACATGTCTAAAAATGCAGAACATTCTTCTGCAAAAATACCTAAAGAGCTGATGGAGAGATTTATAAATTTAACTTGGTTAAAAGTTTTACCTATAGCTGTCTCAATAACTCTCTATAATAATAATAATAATAATAATGGAAACTTTATTGAAATTATATACGTATATATACAATTATAAATCTCACTAATTTAGGTAATTTATAATTGACTACTTGAACCTGCTTAATATTTATATATTAATAATGAGTATCCTTAAATGTTCAGTAATTCCGGATAATAATAATAATAATAATAATAATAATAATAATAATAATAATAATAATAATAATAATAATAATAATAATAATAATAATAATAATAATAATGAA